AGAAGAGAGAGGCAGGGCCGAAAGCAAGCGATGTGCATTCATTCTGCTTGAAGGTTAGGGTTGGCAGGCTGTTCATATGTAAACAGGCTTCAAGACCCGACAGATTGCTAAATGCTAACGGAGGAAAAGCCGAAATTGACCAGAAGTCCTCACTCTTGCCATTTGGGAAGCAAACCTCCTCACACAGCTACATTTCCTTTCCATTTCCCTTGCCCTTAATTTCACTCTCATACCATAGTCGTCTCCTTTCCTACCTTATCCATGCATTTGATTCAAAAGCTACACCTTTCATGAAACGATGAAAGAAGGGCATGTTACACATAAAACCAGTTGTTGTTGTTGTTTTAAAAAAAGGCTTAATGCAAAATATAATCAAATAGCAACAATAATGCATAGTTTGTCTCTTTTTTGTAAACTGCTTAAGAGGGTTTATTTACAATTAACAGGGACACAAATCCTGTTAGATAAATAAATAAATGTTATACACACACACACACAACACAACCCCAAACCCCAAACCCAGTAAATATACAGGAAGCAATGAAATCAACTAACAAATGGCCCAATCACTCAAATCCTACCCAAAGCCTGTTATTTATTTCTTTCCTTATATATGGTGGTCTTACTCGGAGGGGACTTACTGGAATTAATGGACATAACTTAGCCGTGGTCTACTCTGTGTAAATCTTAGTTAAATACTATAGTAATTTGTTTTTTTCTCTTTTTTCCTTTTTTTAAATTTCATTACAATTCTACCACATCTATCTCTTCATCCTTAAAAAAAGGGGGGTGGGGAGGCTGCATTAATGTTCCCATATAAAGCAATACACACAAATGAGGAAATAATCAAATCGGGTTTTTCTTAAAGCTCTGCTGATGTTCTAACCATGGTGGGAGAAAAGCTACAGTCAAAGTTAACACTAAATTTCTAGCAATTTTCCCCTGCTTGTATTCTCTGTCTCTTCTCCCAACTTCTCCCACTGCACCTTTTTGAATAATGTAGGTGTTTCGTTGAAACTTTTTTAAAAAAGAAGTTCTGTTTTTCCCTGCCTCATGTGACCCTGTATTGAATTGGAATCCTATCTCGTGCAGGTCTAATCCTATCAGAGGATCGCCTTGTAGAATCCTCTTGGCTGATCTCTTTCATCCCCAGGCAGAAACGCCAGACACAAGGAGCTCTTCAACTCAAGATGCTGCAGGCCTTTCTCCCCAAGATTGCAATCTAGCTTTTTTTAAAAAAGAAGAAGTACCGTATTCTGTCACTTTATAGGGGGTAATAAGGTTAAATTGCACCTATTGCCAATACAACATTACCGTCAACATTAGACTCTCTTTGAAAATGGGCTCTTCCCATCAATCGCTGGGTGGGGAAGCTTTTACACTGTCCTGTGTCGGGATCATTTATTTTCAACCACTGAGAGCTT